TTGTAGTAGCGGCACTCCTGGGCGTTGTCGTAGAACCCGCCAAAAACCACCGCGTCCCGCCGCCACCGCGCCATGCGATGGCCGCTGCGCGAGGACGGCCCCCCTTTGAGCGTCCTCAGCTCCTCCCACTCGCTGCGCCGCGCGTCGAAGCGCCAGACGTCTTTGAAGTGCAAATACTGCGATTGGGACTGCGAGACGAACTCGCCGCCGAAGATCACGAAGTAGTGCTTGTAGACAACGCCCTGGCTGCTGCTGCGGGGGGCGGGGTTGACGGCGGTGGAGAGCTTCGCCCAGGTCCCGCGGCGGCTTCGGTAGAAGTACAAGTCGTTGTAGGCCGTCGTCGTCCTGCCGTCCCAGTACTCGCCGCCGAAAACGATCACGTCGCCGTCGCGCTCGGGGTGGGGCGACAGGACGACGTTCACCCGCGGGGACGGCGGCTGGACGTCCTGGAGCTCCTCCACGACGCGGATCTTCCCCTGCGTCCGCTGGATCTGCCGGAGGGTGACCTCGATCGCCTCCTCGTTGTTGAAGCCCGGCTTCGCCGCCGGGTCGTCCTGGTGCTTCGCGAGGTGCTTGTGGAGTTTGCTGGACTGCCGCACGGCCCGCGTGGCGGCCTTGGCGGGGTCCTCCCGCTTCTTGCGCTTATCGCGGCCCTTCCCCATGGCTGACCCCGTATGATCCAATAAATCTCTCAATATAGTGAAAACTCAATGCAATGGTAACCCTTAATCCTAAGACATAGGCTGACAAATTCACCCTTTTTATCGAACCCCAAATGGGAAAGGAGAAAAAGGCTCAAAAAATGAAAAAACGACGCGGCGTCAACAACAGCTTTCATGGTATATACATATATATATATATATATATGTATATATACATTGAAGCAACATAAACACAATCAAAAGGTGGTGGTGGTCCTTGAGCTTTTTGTGAAGATTATAATCGCTTTATTACAGATGTCTAGCGCTCAAAAGAAGGATTGTTTTTTTTTCCGTCATTACTAGTTATTAATACTCACACAGAGACACACAACTATTGGTATCGAGATTTAAACCAATATCTGGATAACGATATGTGGATGCAAAACCCCATCGCATCCTTTGAGCGTCCCAATTCGCATCACCGCATACAAACTCTCGGTATTGACGCTGCCTCCCAAACCGAATAAAAGGAATTCAACGCTGGGACGCCAAACTGATGAAACGCCTAACGGTCCAGAAAGGAGTGGTCGAGATGCTCCATCCGCTCAAATTCCTCGCAGAGCGAGGCCGCACGCTCCTCGCACCTGAAACGCTGCGCGGCGGAGGTCCTCTGATACGACTCCCGCATCCAGTCCGTGGACTCCCAATATCGATAACTCAGCGTCGACCCGCGCTGCTCCAAAATACACAAATCCAGCGCGGAAATGTGTCGAAGTACCCGAGAGTGCCACATCGCCGTCCTTAAGATACTAACATATGGTGTGGTGTTTAGCTAATCAAGTGTATTTTTAGTTCGATGGGTTGTGGTTGCCCAAGAGCAGAATAAGTGTTGAGGAGAAGTGAAAACACACACGTCAGACGTTCCAAAGCAACCAAACCCATACCTCTACAACCGCAATCCCCAGGGGCGTTCGCCTATCCGGGCCATTTTGGTGGTGGTTGCTTTTTTTAGGTTGGAAACCGAAGTTTTAAACAAAAAGCAGAATAAACCTATAAGCAATAGCAGGGGTTTAAAAGCATAGGAAAAAAGGTAAACATAAATAAATAAACCTCCGGTATAGGGATAAAAATCGGGTACACCGTCATTTCTCACAAAGGTCTAGAAAATCAGCAGTCTGTCTTCGTCACCGATGAGATCCGATTCCATCAATGTAAACTCCTCTAGACGCTTAGGATTCTCCGTCATGTTAATATTCACGAGCTGGACGACCCTCCCATGTCCGTAGAAGATGATAACCGGCCTGGCGTCTCTTTTGATCGTGGTCCGCAGCCACTGGACGCGTAAAGGGGTCACCCACTGCTGCTGGTCCAGACAATCGTACGCGATGGCGAAGCGCTTGAGCTGGACCGCGGTGATGGGCCGGTAGAAGCGGCCGATGTAGTTGAACGGGTCGTAGCGCTGGCAGGTCTTCGCCGTGAATTTGGACGGGTCCGCCGTCCCGCTGACGTTGTAGTAGTAAAGCGGACTCGAGGTGAAGAGGTTGGCGACCCCCACCCCGTCCGCCGTCGCCCCCACGAGGGAATCCGGGAATGGGCTCTGGAAAAGGTAGGCCGCTTCGTGCGGGGTGGCCCAGTAGCGGCTCGCGTAGCCGTGGCGCCGCGCCCGCTCGATCATCTCCCGCTCCGCCGCGGGGGCGAAGCGCTCGCCGTTGGTGTTCAGCGGCGGCGGCCCGTCCGTCAGGCCGCCCTCGTCCTCGTCCTCCCGCGC